TTTTCTTTCTTTCTTTCTTTCTTTTCTCTTTCCTTTCTTTCTTTTTTCTCTTTCTCTCTCTCTCTCTCTCTCTTTCCCTCCCTCCCTTCCCTCCTTCCTTCTCTTCCTATGTATTTTTGTTATTCTACTAGAGCAAGTACTTTTTCTTGTCACTGCTGTGTCCTCAGAACAGTGCCTGGCACATAATAGGTGTTCAATAGCGTTCTGTGGGACGCATTCATGTGTAAGTGATGCTGAGGGGTTGGGGAATGGGCTTGCGCTCCGACATCCACAACTGTGAGGTGAGCTTCTCCGAAAACAGCTGAGAGATGTGGGGCTCTCCAGCTGAGCAGGCCCGGCAGCTGAAACCAAAAATGCAGATGGGATTAGTCACCCTTCGAGCCTGGTAACGCTGGCACTGAATGAACTCCCCATCCAAACACATCACAACACTGTGGGCCCCAGCGTCGCCAGGGCCCCAGGTGGCAGCTCTGGCATTTGGGAGCTGGCAGTGGCCTGGCAGGGTGGGCACTGGGGGTGGGGGCAGAGGTGGGCAAGGAACGAGGTGGGCCAAGGGCCACAGATGGTGCTCCCTGGACTGGGGACAGGCAGTGCGGGAGAAACTGGAGGCTTCTGAGGACAAAGCGAACCTTAAGACAAGCAGTCTTGAAGAATGAGCTGAAAGCTGTTGAAAAATAAAAATTCCACTCATAAACCAAAGCAGACCACTCGGTTGTGAAATCAATTTCCGCGACACTTGGCGCGCTTGAAAGGGGAAATTCTCTATTTTCTTTCTTGTTTTATAACAGCTTTATTGAAATATAATCACATTCCGTATACTTCACCCATGCAAAATGGACAATCCCGTGGTTTTTAGTATATTCACAGTTGTGCAACCATCACTGCAATCAGTTTAAGAAGATTTTCTTCGCCCCAGAAAGAAACCCCCTGCCCCATCAGTGGCCACTCCCCTTCCCCCTCACCACCAGTGTAAGCAACCAATAATCCAACATTTATCTCCATAATTGTGTCTACTCTGGACATTTTATATACATGGAATCATACAAGATGCAACCTTTGGTGACTATTTCCTTACACATAGCTTAATGTTCTCAAGGTCAGTGATGTCATAGCACATGTCAGTACCACAGTCCTTTTTAGGGCCAAATACTATTCCCTCATTGTATGAATAAACTACATTTTATTTATTCATTCTCTGGTTGATGGACATTTGGGTTGTTTCATTTTTTTTGCTATTATGAGAATGCTGCTATGAACATTTGTGAGTGTACATGTTTTTGTGTGGCTGTATATTTTCATTTCTCTTGAATATATGCCTAGTATATTTCTAGGAATGGAAATCTATTTTCTTTTCTTTTCTTTGTTTTGTTTTTTTTCTTTTTTTTTTTGAGATGGAGTATTGCTTTGTAGCCCAGGCTGGAGTGCAATGGCATGATCTTGGCTCACTGCAATCTCTGTCTCCTGGGTTCAAGTGATTCCCCTGCCTCAGCCTCCCGAGTAGGTGGGATCACAGGCATGTGCCACCATGCCTGGCTAATTTTTGTATTTTTGCTTGCGATGGTGTTTCACTGTGTTGGCCAGGCTGGTCTTAAACTCCTGAGCTCAACTGATCTGCCTGCCTAGGCCCCCAAAGTGCTGGGATTACAGACGTGAGCCACTATGCCTGGCCACTGTTTTCTTTTAAAAAGAAAAAAAAATTCCCCAAGTCAAAATACGTACAGAGTGGAGTGAATTTAAAATGTCAGTTGCAGTTGCAATAGCACAAATGAACTTCACAAGTGTGGGAGCCACAGCTGTGCCTGGCACATCCTGGAAGCTCAATGAATATTTTTGAACAAATGCCCAAATGCTCACTCATTCTGTTGTCCCCAGTGAAAGGGCCCAGGAGATAGAAATGTAATAAAAATGCCACTTGAATGTAATTGATTGTTTTGGGTTTCCTAGATGAGGATGGAGAAGCACCCCCAGCCCTAGCCCCTGCATTTAAGGAACTCAATCTAGAGAGAAATGAAGACAAGTAAACCCAGCACCAGGACACAGGAAAGACAGCAGGGACTCTTTTCTGTCCCCCTCACTTTTGGCATTCCCTTCTTGAGCTGATGGCACTTCCCCTAAATTCCTGGTGTGGGCGGCCTCTTGTCCGCATGGGAGAAGCCCCAGTAGGAAGAGAAAGCTCCATCTTCAGGAGGATGTTGGCCTGTACTTGGGACACACCTGCTCCTATCTTTTTGTCTGACACTGAGGACCTATTCATCTCTTTTATGGAATAAAGAGCGTCTTGCCTATTGGTTTTTTCTGATTGTCAACATACTTCCATGTACTTTTTTTTTTTTTTTT